TCAACTTTACCCTACTGGACAAAACACGGGTTTTTTGTTACAACCTGTAGCCTGTGGTCAGCTATAGGATACGTTCACTAAGCAATACAAGACTATAAATATGTATCAATTTATATACATGAAAATGTAGTTCAAATTCAAAATATCTTTATTCATGTAGTCTCTTTAACCACAATAGAAAAACAATAAACCTAATGATATTTTTGACGACGATTGATGACCAAAAAGTAAATTAATGAGACGATTTTTTCTAATAAATAAAGTAATAAGAATAACTAATTCAACTTAATCTACGAAACCTGTTATTTGTATAGAACTTTTTAGATATTAAGGTACTCACCGTAAATCCTATACCGACTGTGGCCGAGAAATTTCCCGCCTGGAACTTTCCAGTCTCGAACTGAACTAATAATGACGTCTTCCCAACTCCACTGTCACCGAGAAGAATCGTCTGGAACAATTTTTTTTATTTAATCATCCTATAAGGAAGTTTACGGCTATAATCTCAAATGAGGTAGTCGGAGAGCTTTGTTTTTGCATGTTTTATTGTCACACTAGCTTTTACTTGTAACTTCGTCTGCGTGTTACGGCTTTGTGTCGTGCATCTCGCTCACACATTCCAGCGCGTTGTCTGTGACAGCTGCCACCGTTTATAGTTTTAATTGTCAGTACAATTACGATCGTCCTACTGTATAGCCATCCAGGCAAAAATAAGGATCTTACTGCCCATTTGGACCTTCATCGTCGGATGTCATCATAAATCATCATTATTCAGCCCGTCTTGCTACAAGAACCTACGTGTTGCCGAGTAACCAGTACCAGTTCATGCAGATCAAAGGAATACTTTGCGCCTGGACAGCATAACATTATTACGAAGAGGACGGTCATCATCAAGAAATCAGTACTCATCATCATCAATAAATAATCAAGTTCAAGCAAAGTTAATACATATAAAGGACTGATACCAATACGTGAGCTAAGTAACAGAGTGTACAGTGAGTTTGTTCCAATTGCCTACTACCCACCCGTATCCATTTTATCACTAAGATTTGAATAAATTACTTTATTTCCTTACTTTAAATAAGTGAATTCCAACTACTTTCTTTAATTATTTAATATTTTTAGACAAGTTATCATTACCTACCCTACACTTTTAGGTTTAATAGATTTCTTTACTCAACTAATTGCATACGATTGTCATTATATATAATTCAGTATCTCATTTTAAGTAAATCTTTCATCGTAATTTAAGTAAATATCGTAATATAACTATTTCATTGAATATTTTTAATATCATAATAATTCTTCAGTGTCATTAGTGTTTGGAGTTGCCTCGTATGTATTAAAATTCGAATAGGCAATCTATACTTAATACCTATTTGTGTTTAACAGTTTTGCTAATTCCAGCAGTGTTACATCGGAGAAATCGTTGAGCTATCGGAGCGCACTAGGTGGCGGTCCTTTGCAGGAACTGATAATTCGTGCCCTGTCACGACCCGCATTTGTGACTTTATAAAATATAAGTATACCGTCTTACTTAAATTTATTTCTTTCGATTTGTGCCTATACCACTTAACTATTTCTAATATAAACATAGTGATTTGAACTTGAAATTTGCTTTAGATTTTACCTAAAATAATACAAAATGGATTTAAAATCTTTAATTAAAAAGCGTGGTAGTTACAAAGCTAGACTTACGCAATTCTCTTCATATCTAAATGTAAATCAATCATGTGAATCACTTTCTAGTTTACAAATTAATGAGCTCAACATAAGATTATCAAAAATTGAGGAACTTTATTCAGATTTTGATTGTACGCAAATTGAAATAGAAAATTTATCTGAAATTCCAGACGATCAGTACAAAGAACGCGAAACATTCGAAACTCAGTAACCACTCGCTCGACGATCCATTGATAGACTGGCAACTCGAGATATGTTGACGCGTGGAGGGCAGTATGTTGCGAAACGGCCATCTCATGGCGATCGCTGGTTCTGCATCTAAAGGTTGCCCAAAATTCAGCAATTCTTCTATCGACTGCATCGCTGCTGCTATCGTAGGCATGGCGTATCTCAATTGGTTGGTGGTCCCGACACTTACGTCGCTGCTCATACATTCAGATAATTCAATTCCTAAAATTAATAAATTTCACGATTTGCGCGCTGCACTTAAAGATAGCGCCGCATTAATCATTAGTCTCTTGATTTCAGCTGAAAATTATGATGTTGCCATGGCAGCTTCTATGAACGATAACAATAAAAGACTTTTAATCAATAATCATATTCATGCTATTTTTGCTATTGAGTCTATACAAAGAGAGTCGGCTAAGGCATTGCGCAACATTATAGACACTGTCAATAAAAATCTGAGAGCCTCTCAAAACACTTAAATTCCCACTGACCACTGGGACATATTAATTATACATATAGTCTCGTAAACTCGATATCATTACAACTCGCGAATGGGAAACGTATCGTTCCTAATCTTAAAGATATTCCATCGCTTTTGGATTTCAATCGCCGGACGTGTTCGTAGTCGATGTGGTGGAAACAATGGACGACGTGGCAGCGACAGTAGGCACAGTGATACTACACATACGACGTGGTGGCAGCAACGGATCTTTTATAGCGACGGACACTTCCGGCGGCCGTAGTCGGCGTGGTGGCGGCGGACACATGTGACGGCGATTTTTTGTAAACACGACTTCATGTATTTATCAATGTCCAAAATTTCAATCGATCCAGCTTCAGAATAAGAATACAAAAGCGAAATCATTAAAATTATGTATTAACTGTTCCTCCGTCAAGGACACAATGAAACCAAATGAACGGTGTGGACTGCAAACTTTCGTCTTAGCTGGACTCATAGGGGCGTTACTTCATGTCAATCATTCATCAACACACAGTCATCTACTATTCCAACTTCAACAAGAGAGTATTTTTTCTTCTTGTCCTATTTCTTCTCAGAAGTGTGTCGCTGAAAACAAAACCAAGCGAATGCCGCTCGACGAGAGGCTTTAACTACACTTTATACCCGCCCGCTCGCATGATAACGTTGTATTATTATCGCGTTAGCGAATTGCGTTGAAGACAGGGTCACAAACAGAAAGAACGAGACGCGTGTCTCTTCAGATCGGTACTCTATAGCGTTTATTTATTGCAATTTACAATTTCTTAATTCTATTTATTGTTCAATTTCTATTTCTATTCGTAGGTAATAATGACAACACACAAAGAAATACTTTATTTAACTCAAACTATCTTAAATCTATTATCTATATAAAATAACAGAATACAAAACGATTAACTAGGACTTAAAAACTATAAATTACGATATATAAAAATAATCTCGCTATATATATATATATATATATATATATATATATATATATATATATATATATATTCTAATCTTGCTTTATTATTGATATCACTGGTGACATAGGTATTTTGAAATTACTATATTTTAAAAGTCCTATTTTTTAATTTTCGCATATCTATCTATCTTCATGCCAAAATAGGCAGAGGAAGAAAAACATTCAATTTAAAATAAAATACTTATAAAATTGCCTCGTGAAATGTATTTAGAATTTAACGTAATAACCAACACAAAAGGCTTAGGTATGTAGTGAATCGTGAATGTCATTTTGATTGACGTTGATTGGGGTAATGCTCTGATATGTATAGGGCAATGATACAAGAAGTTCTCCAAATAACAGTCAAACAATATGAAACAAATCATTTATTTGTATCTAAATTTAGTAGATATAGGCAATTAATTACATAAATGTATTTTTTTAATGATTATTTGCAGATATTGAAAATTTATTATAAATAAAGAAATTTATAAAAAAATATTCTATACAAAATATTGTCGTCAATAAAGAGCGTCATAGACGACACAGTAAACTCTGTTATGTCCATGGTACGGTTCATGAGATATAGGTGACGGTTATCGAGTTAGCCGTCAGCTTGTTTGCTATTCTAAATTGCATAAAAAATTGTAAATATAAATACTAATTACTTGTAAATGGTAAGGAAATAAATACAAACAAAAAAACGGAAATATTATTTATATTTGTTATGCGTACATAAGTAAATTAATTACATCATTTAAATACAAAATAATATTTAGTTTTTTTCACAATATTCTAGTCGGTTTATAATAAAATTCTACATCTAATATCTATGTACATATGTATACATATGGAAAATTAATAAAGTCATTGGCGCTTTGCGTCACAGTGCGAGGCGAGGCGCTCTATATCAATACATATAATAAAATCGTAACTGATCGGTGTCTATACATGGAAGGTATATAAGAAAAACTTTATGAATGCAATAGAACCCAAAACAATGATTTTTATCTGTTTGTCTGTATGTTTGTACGTTTGTGCACGCTAATCTCAGAAACGGGTAACCGATCTGAACGCAGTTTTTATTAAAGCGTTGCAGTTTCCTCCACTTAATATTCAATGTTTGTTTTATTTCAATCGGTTCATAAATAAAAAAGTTATAAAAAATAATATCTTAAATCTAAAAAATAAATATACCTATCATATTCAATATATAAGATGAAATAAAAAACATTAACATTCTTTATGGACGTGCTCTACGAATATAATTGAAAAATTTTCGCAAAGAAATTAGGATTTCTTAGCGAAATATAGAGTTTCCTATAATAACCTGAAAACTCGAATTGCCGTTTTAGTAAAAGCTCTCCTTTCAAAATCATTCCTTACGAGAAATATTAATTTTTACTGGTTGGTAAAGTACTTTCAATAGTTTTTTTTTATTATTATGTTCAATACGATACTCTATATTTAGACACTAACATTCTGTTTATGAATATATATACTAATAAAGACAAACAGATATATGAACTCAATAATTATTTAAGTAACAACATAAAAGCAATGAAATAATAAGTTAAATCTATTCTTAGAATAATTAAATTACGAAATTCTAGTTGTTAAATATAATTAATTACCTGTGCCAATTAAATTTCCTCATCATACGGTGGTAATGTTAAAATATAATAAACATTTATTCGTGAGCTTCAGTCACACACATAGAAAACCTTACAGAGAAAAAAAAAACAGAGACAAATTATACATTTGTGTGCCATAGCAAATCAATAATACCTCCCCTCAACTTTGCCCTACTGGACAAAACACTGGTTTTCTGTTATAACCTGTAGCCTGTGGTCAGCTATAGGATACGTTCACTAAACAATACAAGACTATAAATACATAACCATTTATATACACGAAAATGTAGTTCAAATTCAAATTCGAAATATCTTTATTCATGTAGTATCTTTAAACACAGTAGAGAAATAATAAACCTAATGATATTTTTGATTTTTTCTAATAAATAAAGTAATAAGAATAACTAATTAAACTTAATCTACGAAACCTGTTATTTGTATAGAACTTTTTAGATATTAAGGTACTCACCGTAAATCCTATACCGACTGTGGCCGAGAAATTTCCCGCCTGGAACTTTCCAGTCTCGAACTGAACTAATAATGACGTCTTCCCAACTCCACTGTCACCGAGAAGAATCGTCTGGAACAATTTTTTTTTTATTTAATCATCCTATAAGAAAATTTACTGCTATAATCTCAAATGAGGTAGTCGGAGAACTTTGTTTTTGCATGTTTTATAGTCACACTAGCTTTTACTTGTAACTTCGTCTGCGTGATCGGTATATATTTAATAATTGAGATAAAAAGTAGCCTATAACCCTCTTCGTCACATAATTATGTTACTTATTATCCCTATAAGAAAAAAAACCTGATGGGTGGCAAAACAATGTTTGCCGGGGGGAAAGGGATTGTTAGTAATGGATACTGAGAATCCCATTGCTAGCAATATACCCAACCAGGTCGACCTCCTCGCGGTTTCCCCTGGAAACTATCGTGGTTAATTCCTAATGAATTCATCATGATGGGCTAACTGGCCTGTTTTCATTCTCATCTATCACCCTTCACTGGTGCTCCGCCAGCGTATCCCGTTAGCACAGGCGGGGTTACCATACCATTTTCACCCATCAAAAAAAAACAATGTTTGCCGGATCAAATAGATTAATATCTAAATTGTTGCCTCTTTGCCTTATTGCTTCTAACGCAGATTTTCTTTTACATATTTCAAGTATTATTCATTCTTTATTCCTTAATTTTTAATATTTCCCATAACCAAATGTTTTAGTATTTATTTGTCTATGGTTTCAGTGGCCTATTTCGCACCGTGATATGGAATGTACAATGTTGTATTTATATAGTAGCATGCTACAATGCGCAGAGTAATATATTAATTAAAAGATAAAATTATGTTGATACTAGTGATAATGAAATAAAGAAATATGTTAAGTAAATAAACCTTTCCTGTTTTAAATTCTAAAGTTTAATTCTCTCTTTTACGCGAGCTTTGTTTTGGAGAATAAAGCAGAGAGTATATATTTTTTACTTGTTTCAAAGAGAATTTATTGTTACATTTTTAATTTCCCAACAAACACGCTTTTTATGGTTGTTTTACTTTTTTAAAGTAAAAGTAACTCTCGAGATCATAATTAGCAGAAAGAATGTTTTACGAGAGACTAATCACGGCTGTTTTTTTCAACACAGTTTTCGGTTTTAATTTTAATGTTTATTTTTTTCTTTTTTTCTGCAACTTAGAATGGCAAGTAAGTTCAAGGGCCACCTGATGGAAAATAGTAACCATCGCCTATAGATATAAACAGTATCAGGGACAGACCAGAGTATACTGTGTCGCCCATGATAGCCTTTATGCGTTGCCATTCCTGAGAGCTGAGGTGATAATTTATAAAAAGAAATGTATATTTTTATTATTATTAATTATTTTTGTACAAAATTCGATTGCTTGGGTACCTCTGTCTCATTCGTGTTTCAACCGTGAAGCAGTTGTGTTTGCATGGCTGTGTTTCGGTTTGAAGGGTGGGATATGGCGTGAATTTACTGGGTACAGAGGAATAATATCTGAGTCCTCAGGAATGGCAACACATGGGGGGTATCATGCGCGAAACAGTATACTCTGGTATGTCCCTGATACTGTTTATATCTATAGGCGATGGTTACTATTTTCCATCAGGTGGACCGTCAGCTTGTTTGCCATTCTAAGTTGTATAAAAAAAATATAAAACATACAATATATATAGGTACTTAATACACTCCTCGCAAAAATTAAGGGAACATAAAAATTTTTGAAATTTTTGGGTGATTTTCAACAGGCTGTATTTCAGTGAAAAATAATCGTACAGGAAATTTAAAAAAAGAGTTTTGAAGCTTGAAAACTCTATTTTCAGATTTTTTAGTGAAAAAATTTTTTGAGCTCTCTCTTCCATATATTCTTAAACAAACTGAAAATAAATTTTTTCTAAATTTTCTAGGTTTCGTTTTTCACTCTATGGGCATGGAAAAATTTTTTGGAGCTACTTCATTGTATAGGTCTCTTAGCGTGTTTATTCAGCTTCAAAAATCGCTTTGGATGGCTCAATTACGACCATTTGTCTCCGAGATATCGAACTTTGAATGCAAAAGCATCCTTTTCCATTCAACTGCTAATATCTCTGGAACTACTGGTCGCACAGCAAGCGGGCGCCGAGTTTCTTTATCTGCATAAAATTTCCAATTAAGCACAGTCAAGAGTTAGTGAAGAAAAAAATTTTTTCCACCTCTAACATTGAATTGAAAAAAGTGGAAAAAGTGACTTTTTCTCCTTTTTTGGTTACTTGGCTGTATCTTCGCTAATATGGGCGGGAAAGCTAAGGTTTGAGGAAAATTTTACAGTCTATTGTTCCTTAAAGAACCCCAAAAATCCCTGGAGCGATCGGTTCAACGGTTTTTCCCGGACCAATTGATTGAAATTTTGGAAAAAATAAGGGAACAAGGTTTTTGTCCCTTAAACTCACCCTAATCCATTCAAAAATCAATAATTTCATTTGTTTTTCACTTTTTACTCAATTTTTTGTTTTTTAAAAATTCATTATCAAAAAAAAAATCGAAAAAAAATCAAGAAAATTTTTTTAGAAAAATTTTTGCTTAATTCTCTGTGCGACCAGTAGTTCCAGAGATATTAGCAGTTGAATGTAAAAGGATGCTTTTGCATTCAAAGTTCGATATCTCGGAGACAAATGGTCGTAATTGAGCCATCCAAAGCGATTTTTGAAGCTGAATAAACACGCTAAGAGACCTATACAATGGAGTAGCTCGAAAAAATTTTTCCATGCCCATAGAGTGAAAAACGAAACCTAGAAAATTTAGAATAAAATTATTTTGAGCTTTGTTTAAGAATTGCATGGAAACCGGAGCTCAAAAAATTTTTTTACCAAAAAATCTGAAAACTAGAGTTTTCAAGCTTCAAAACCCTTTTTTTAAATTTCCTGTACGATTATTTTTCACTGAAATACAGCCTGTTGAAAATCACCCAAAAATTTCAAAAAATTTTATGTTCCCTTAATTTTTGCGAGGAGTGTATATCTTTGTCGATATAAAAATATGTTATTTTTAGAGTTGCCTACCAAAATAGTACAAAGAAAACTTTATGATACGACTGTTTTAGATGCTTATCAATTTTAGATATTTTTGGTTTACACACTGCAATAAAACATAATAAACATAACACATAACATAATAAATAAATTAATTAATAAAACATAACATAATAAATTAATTATTTTTTAATTTGAGAACCACAACTTTTAAATGCTCTTGGATCCGAATAGTTCAAGAGGGAACTCAAAATTGCGGTACAAAAGAGAATATAAATGATCCTACTAATCCAAATGGGGTATCAGAAGAAAGAAATTATTTGTGCATTTTTATTTTATGTGCTTAGTTTTTGACTAATGATAACGATTAAAAAAAATATCGTCCCCCACCCGCCATTTATCTCCGAAGCTTCGATACCAAAAATCTACAATAATTACAATGAGTTTTTGCAAGCTATAAATGCTGTGACATTGACTTAGTTTGAAATTTAAATTGTAATTTTAATTTTATTTGACATTTTTATCATTTTATTATTTATAGTAGCTTTATTGACTGTTTGTAATGCATGACCAAAGTGGCACTTCGTACTAATAGTGATTTATTGTATATGTAATTGAAAATTAAATATATAATGTACCTGTATAAAATAGCCAATGGATAAATTCAATAATTAATATTTGCATGCCATTTGATGTGGTGAAACATAATGGACATCTTATAAACTTCACAAATGCAACACCTTTTCTACAATGTTTCTAGCAAATAAATTTCATTTCATTTTATTTCATTTCATTTATTAAGATATAGAATATTATAGGAAAAATAAAATTATGTTTGTAAATAACTCAGTTATTAAGGAATTATTGATAAAAGAACTCCGGAAACAATTTCTTTAAAAAATATTTGATATTATTTTTATAACTTATGTTCATTTTTAATAGGATGCCTATATATTATAGATAAAATATTTGATTATGAAAAAATTTAAATATGTTTAGACGTTTAAAATTTCGCTCAATAGGTACAATTATTTTACACAGCCACATTATATAATAATACAACGCGCAGAATATAGTGATGATTCCATTTACGATGCTATCATCACCATTATCATTTCAGCCATTAACTGTCCTCCTTAACATAGGCCTCCACTATTGGAAGATTTTGCCACTAGGCGCCAAGCTTAGCGAGCGGGTTGGCAACTGCAGTTAAGCTTTTAGTGGTGTTTTAAAAGGGACGCTGCTGTCTATCCCTTAACCAGATAGTTCGCTTAGTCGCCATTTACGACGGAAAGGGACGGGGTGACCCATTCTAGGCCGGATTCAAACAGCATTTATAAAGCATGGAAACATTAATATTTTTTCTTGGAAAAGGGAACTTTCATCGGCGAGGAAAAGTTTCTAATTAGATAAATCGACATATAAATTGACTAACGCTCATCAAACTTTTCAATGACGGTACGAGAATCAGAGGAAAAGTTACAGAACATCAATTTGTGTACTACTAATTCCGATATTCGAGATTTTTTTTAACGAATATACTCATAAATGTATTTACTACTACAAATATTTGTATGAGGGTATCTATCTGTTATCATGGATTGCTATTATACACAAAGACGCCACGTTTTTATCAGTCAATATATGGATTGATAATTATTTTACAACAGCTTAAGTTTCCGTAATTAAATTTTGCAGGTATAAATTTTTTTAATGAAACTTGCTTTAAATAAAAGATGAGTCAACTGACGTGCTTTCATCCTCACCTAGTACCATCACTCACTGATATCACGATAGCGTATACCATTCCTTTGTTACTTATTAAAAAACATCATAGTTCCTGTTTTTATCGACAATAATTGGATTGATAATTGATTTACAATAGCCTAAGATCTCATAGTTGATTTTTGCAAGTTAAAAAACTTTTACTTTAGTTTTTTTAATGTAATATTGTAATAACATACCTTGTGTATAGGCACGTCGTCGTCTACATGCGTACGCGCTGGGGTCTCCGCGGGAGCTTGGTAATCTCTGTAGCCAGTTGGAGAGGGCGTACTTCGCTGCGCTGGCGCACGCAACGAATCATCCTCGAACACGTCATCGCTCATGCTGTCGTCCGTTGTCATCTGCTATTAAAAATGAAATATAAATATAAAAGACGGATATTTATATATTTTTTACCTACTTGCAATTAAAAATAAACTAGCAGCCTACTTGATTTGAAGTGACCGTTATTAATATAAAAGGTCGCTCATTGTTTTCTCATTGCGATTATTTCTTGTAATTGTTTGTATTGTATCAATAAGTTTACTATTGTAATCTTTCGAAGGAAACAAAATAGGAAAGGAAAAGGTACTTTATACACGTGCCTCATCGTGTGCGAATGAAAGTGTGAAAATGTACAAAGATTTCATAATTTTCATACAGCGTAATACAAATTTGTCGTGTATCGCCGCGGGGATTCGCTATAGTCTTTGCACACGCTGGGTGACACGTGTGTAAAAACTTTATGATGGCCCCTGTAAGAGCCAAACTTGACGGCCATGGGGGAAAGGGATATATATAGATAAATATAAATAATTGTAATCGACTAACCAGTAATATATTATATATACATACTTTTATCCTAATTGATGACGATTAAACAAAAGTAAGTCGATAAATATTAGTTAATAATATTTTTAATATTATACACCAACGAGAATGTGGCAACCCTATCAAAATAATTACAATATTGATTTTCCGCTTACGATACAAACTTTCACTCTATAGGGGTATTAACTCATATGTGACAAGTACCAATCTCCCATGAATCTAAATGAGCTTAAGCTCGTTATATTGATTTTAATAATGTCTTTTAAATTCATGAACAATCTATTTTTTACTGTAATATACGTAGATAGATAGGTACTCTTTATTGTTTCCTTCAATATGATAACAATAGTAAACATATTACAGATACAAACAATTACAATATGTACTTGTTTCTATTTGATTATATTACGAGTATATTTATGTATATGTGAAAATATTAATCAAAACATTTTATAATGTATTTTTGAGATTTTGTTAAAAAAAACAGCTAATTCTATATTGGCGAGTCTAATATGGGTTTAATATAAACTTTACCGTTTGCTAAAAGAATAATTAAAATCGATTTATATATTTAAAGTTTACCAAAGCGAACCCATTTATATTTAGCCTAACATGGTCTGATTCGAACATTTCTGGAATTAATTTATTCATTAACAATGTTTGCCGTTTCCAGAAAATTAATCGGGAGTTTTAATAGACATGAATATTCTCCATGTAGTAAGTAAAGATTACAATGTGTCACCATTGCTTTTTATCCTCTGTGTATCATAAAAGATTTTTTTAATGGATGATAACAGAATGGTAACCTCGCCTGCGCTAACGTTGGCGAGACGTGACTGAAGGATGATAGGTGAGATGAAAAGGCAGGTCAGTTAGTCCATCTTAATTATTACACCAGGAATTCAGCACGATGATTATGTGGAGGTCGATCTGATAAAGTATATTGCTAGCAATAGGACTGGTCATCTGTATTACTAACAATCCCTTCTCCTATAATAATGGATTGCTAAAAACAAAGTAAAATACATATAAAAAAAATCTTTATACTAAACCATCTGGCCAATGAGGGCTATTATTTTTATGGAAGAACCTGTGTCCATCAATTAGATCAACAGTATAATGCTGTTGTTTGTTATGAGAGAATTTGTTATGAGTAGTATGATAGATGCATTATTTAGCTTTTTTTATCTAAATTAATATTATAAAGAGGTAAGATTTGATTTTTTATTTGTAATAGATAAGTATTATGTACTATTCTCATCTTTGTCTATAATATAGTATATCGTATATATGCCAATCCTCATAAGCCATTAACTATCCACTATTGAACATAGGTGTCCCCCATAAGAGGGACTTTGCTAGTAGTTTTCACGTTTGACAGGCGGATTGACAGGCTTTGCCTCACTACGGTTGAGATGTTTTAAGAGAGAAGCTAATATTATATGCTAAGAGTATTAAATCCACTTTGTACACATATCTTGTACATACTAAAGAATGATCCCCTTGTTCATAAAAACTGTAATCTACTATAAACCTATTTTAGCTATTGAACTATTTTGTCACTTTCTTTCTAATTGGGAATGTAGCATAAAAGAAAGAGACAGAACATTTCAATAGCTATAAAATAGTTTTATGAGACGTTTGACGTTTTTATTTTTTATTTTTGTTTTATACAACTTAAAATGGCAAACAAGTTGACGGCACACCTGATGGAAAGTGGTAACCGTCACCTATAGACATGAGCAGTACCATGGACATAACAGAGTATACTGTTTCACCCATGATACCCCCCATGCGTTGCCATTCCTAAGGACTCAGGTGTTAGTCCTCTGTACCCAGTAAATTCACGCTTTTATATACAAGAGCGTCAATAAATAAACTCAAAAAAAACTTAACCGATTTTAAACTTTCCTTTATATATAGAAAGCATTATCAGCGAATGACATGGTTTGTATTTTATACTCTTTACCCGTGCGAAGTCGGGACGAGTTGCTAGTTATAAATAAATAGGTATAGTCGACTACAAACTAAATTAATATCCGGCAGTTTCCTTCCCTTCAATTCACATCAAAGTAAAATATAATAGGCCCGATGAGAATACTAAAAGGTTATGATTGAAGAAAATTTAACTCCAATACCTGGCTATATTCAGCAAGCTTGAAAAGTGAAGTGGCCATTATTAAAATTTCTTTTAAAAACGTTCCCCGAGACAAGACGGTAGCGAAATGAGAATAGCCGTGTTTACTTGAAAAAATGCTTTCGATCTTATTACTCTATTAATTTATTCAATGAAGATTTTTTTTTTAATTAATATAAAAAAATGCTAACCCATCTGCGTTGATTTACACAGGCGAGCAGGGCTCGACTTAGGGTAATCGATTGAGTATTTATTTAGAATGGCAAAAATGAGGGCATCCGACGGTTGAAAAGAACGGTAAACATTTTTTAGCATTGTGGGCAAAAATATACGGAGTACCATTAAAGAGTAATTGATAAGATTGAAGTCTAACAAGTTTTTTTTTTAATGGATGTTAATGGAATGGTAAGTCCGTCTGCGTTAACCGTATACGCTGGCGGGGCACCAGTGAGGGATGATAGGTGAGAATGAAAAGGCAGGTCAGTTAGCCCATTGTGATGAATACATATACCTGGAATTAAGCACAATCGTTTCCAGAGAGGGCCACGTGGAGGTCGACCTGACAGGGTATATTTCTAATAATGGGACTGCTAGTCCGCAATACTAAAAATCTCTTCCCCTACAGTCAAACTAGTTGGCCCATTATGACTAATATACTATTTATAACAGAAACGAACTAACGACTTAGTTGATGAAGAGTGGCAAAGAGATGTGAAGTGGAATATAGTGGTGAGAATGGAAGACCCTACCAGAGGGAGACTTTGTACAAAAGTCGATTGCTTGGGTACCTCTGTCCCATTCGTGTTTCTACCGTGAAGCAGTTGTTTTTGCATGGCTGTGTTTCAGTTTGAAGGGTGGGATATGGCGTGAATTTACAGGGTACAGAGGAATAACACCTGAGTCCTCAGGAATAGCAACGCATGGGGGGTATCATCTGCTGCTCGTGTCTATGGGCGACGGTTGCCACTTTCCATCGGGTGGGCCGTCAGCTTGTTTGCCATTCAAAGTCGTATAAAAAAAAGTTACTATTCCTCACCTTTGCTTTTGGTATATTCTGGCGGGGCACCAGTGAGAGATGATAGAATAGAATGAAAGCAAGTCAGTTTTTAATGGACGATAATGGAATGATAACCCCGCCTGCGCTAACGGTATACACTGGCGGAGCACCAATGAAGGATGATAGGTGGAGAATGAAAAAGCAAGTCACTTGGCCCATCATGATGAACACACCTGGAATTCAGCACGATGATTTCCAGGGAGGACCATGTGGAGGTCGACCTGGTTGAGCATATTGTTAACAATGGGACTGGTGGTCCGCATTACTAACAATCCCTTCCCCCAAGCAGGTCAGTTAGCTCATTTTGATGAATTCCGCAACCACGATAATTTCTATATAGAGACGGTTGAGCCCATTACTAATAATCCCTTTGTTTAGACTAGTCTAATGTTGATAATCCGATATCGGTTGTATCGCACGGCTTGAAGGTTGGTTCACCACGGGAAAAAGTGCTGTCGCATCGCACCTGAGTGCAACTATGTTCGGAGATAAAAAAAAAAAAAAGAAATATGGCGTTGGCGCGAAAAGTGATCATGGTAAGTTAGCACGTACGCTCTGTTTCGTGTATTTATTTTATAAAAAATTACATCTAAGTGATATTAATAGTTTGCTTTATGGAAAATGTTATGTATAATGAACATGTGAAGTATCCTACATCACACCACACTATTTCGATACAAGTTTTGTGCGTGCTCCTGAGTCCGTGAGGATCTTTAGCTGCGCCGTAGAAAAAGACAGCAGCCCAAGGAAGCAGGTGAACTAGCTCATCAAAGAGGTACGACTAATTTAAGTTATTGCGAACGACATACCAGTCTAGAAAAATCATTGTTAACCGCCCTCTCTGCCGATCCCTGGACTTTTAGTTTTTCGCCCATATACCTTTTCCCCAATATTTAATTATTTAATGTAGTTAAATGACTCCCCTGCCATCAACATAAATAAAAATCAAATCTGTTCGGCTAATTATTTATTGTTGTGTTTGAAATTGACAAGAAAAGTTTGCATAAAAGAAAATATTTGAAAACTGACGTATCATACAATCATATCTGTATCAATACATACATCTGTCACGCCTGTTCCCCATTAGGGTAGACAGAAAAAATGAACGCCAAATGCTTTAATTCAAACAAAAATTAATACACTCATGCGAAATCGGTGTTGGTAGCTGGTTACTTCATATATTATATTATATTAAATACAATGAAAATTCTCGTAAAATTTGTATGCAATGATTTAACTTGCCACGTTTGTGTCTACTAATTTACTTCTAAAAGTGTTTATTCTCACCCAAAATAACATGGGTTAATTACTTAAAGTTACAAAGAGGGACAAAGCCCTGT